AAAGCGATCCACCAATTGACTAACAACTGGGTTCCTACTTACTGCTAGGTAAACAGAGGCGTGTGAAGTAAGGAAACTTGTCCAATGTTTTGCCCTGCTGGGAATCAAACCCAGGTCTCTCGCAGAACTAGCCACTAAGCTACAGGACTATAAGATGAGACGTTGTGGCACTCTGTACCTCAGAAACAACATGAAATTACCAACTCCAATCATAACATAACATGAATAGAAGTAAGAAATATGGAATCATACATCGATAGAGCAAAAACAAGGGCAAACTCATTATAGGGCCTCTTCTGAATTGTTATTTTAATAATTCATACCATCGAGCATTTTTCCAACAACGTGTTGTAATCATAAGTGGTTCTTTCCTTCCTCGTGTTGTGATCAGAAGTGAATTATAAAATATGATCACAAGTGAAATATTAAAAATGCTTCAATTAAGCTGATGCTCACGAGCTGACCTGCAGAAATACAATCGATTATAAAATGTTGTTTTACCTAAGCGAAGGTTGCTTATGCGAAATAGCTTATTTGTTTTTGTTAGCAGGCGTTGAGTTGACTTGCAGAACTACAATCTTGATTATAAAATGTTGTTTTAATTAAATTGAGCTGAAATGCAGAATTTCTATCTAAGCATAACAGGTGTCATGGGGTAGCTGGTGTAACATGAGATTAAATGGTACGAGGAGATGTCATTATGCTCTTATATTATGAAGAATTAAACTGGCTCAGAAAGAAGAAGGTGAATTTGTTATTGCATCTGGACTTTGTTGTGCTATGAATTAATTGCCGATGTACAGTTCTGTCATTTTTAATCTGAGTTGGCCCAGGGCAGACAGGATTAAAACAATCATCACAGGTGGGTGAGAAAGTGCTGACGTGGAATGATCAGCCTCACCATGATATAAAGAAATATAGCTGAGCTACACTTTGGCATTTCAAGTTGGCCTAGGAGGGAGTCCATCTTTCACTCCTCCAGCAAGGCAGAACTCCCACCTGAGGTCCAAGATTTAAGAAACATCAGAAGAAAGAACAGACATCGACAATACAAGAACACAGATGCAAGAGATTCAACACACGCTATTATCTGTGGTCCCAAAACAAGAGAATTTTGCTTGCTGCCTAAGAAGTTTGATATTGTCACCACAGTACTGTACTATATGTGAGCATAAAAATATAATCTGTCTATTGTAACTGCCTTTTGTAACTCACTTTGCTAAATCAATGCGAAACTATATATCTTTTTGCCTTAAATGAGGTGTTCAGCATAAAATACAAGTGACTTTGGTTCCTCTGTTCTCAGATTGCTGACTCTATATTTTGGCTAAGCAGAATAAGGTGGTCTTTTCTGGCCGCACTGTTGTGCACTGTACTATAAGCTACTCGGTCACCACCCTGAAAAAAAAAGGATGAGTAAAGATCATTGGGACAACTTGCCCTAGAATAAAATGAGTTCCACGAGAGTCAGAGTAAGGTTAGTAGAACAATCAAGGTGTCTAGACTAGTCAGTTTACAGATTAGAAGGAAATAAATTGTATTCAATAAAGTGAACACAATGGGACNAAAAAAAACAAATCAGGTGCACTTACAACATTTTTAAATGTTTTGGGAGTTCATCTCTTGCAAGCAAAAATGTATATATTTGATAATATTATAAACTACTTTCTCCTGAAGATAAATAATTGGTGATTCAAAGCCATAAATTGTTTATTTTAAGAACTCATATGTCACCAAATCAGCTGTAAACCTTTGCCCAGATGTAATTTAAGTTTATCACAATCCTACGTCTTCTAAGCAACAATGAGCCAACAAAGTGACATATTCTATTTGGTTAACTACCACACCCTCCCTCGCAGCGGCTTAGCAAACACATTAATAGAAGTACACATAAATTATTCAAAAACATTTATCTAGTTAGAAACTTCAAGTTACATTTCCGGAATCAGATTTCCATGGCTATGAAGATAACACTAAGAGGGCCAAAGACAAGATAACAAACATCAGTCCATTGGCTTATGTGACTTATCTATTGAGTGCTTTTAGTTTCCTGTATTGACCTGAAAATACATCTATAACTTGACCCATTCTTCCAATGATGTCATGTGTCGGCTTGGTTCTGTTGTTAGCACTCTCACCTCTGAGTCAGAGGGTGTGGATTCAAGCTTGATATCACAAATTTAAGCTCATAGAGGTTGCACGTCAATGCCCTGCACTTCCAGAGGTGAACAGATGAGTCGTATAAACTGAGGTCTTCTCTCCCCATTTAGGTGAACATTAAAGATCCCATGACATTATTCGAAAAGAGAAGATAATTCTCCAGATAATTTGCTGGCATTTACCATCTTGACCTTTTTTATTTTTCATCTTACATCAGAAATCCATCTAAATCTGATTTTATCTAAAAAATCTATAACGAGCGATACCATTTTATTTCTATTCAAGCATATTCAAGATATCGAGAAGACGTGAAAAGCGCTATATCAAATGCAAGGATTATCATTATTATTATATTGTTACCGTTCAGATTTCTAATTTTCCATTAAGTCATTTTCTGAAATCTTGCAATAGACTTTGTGATATACCAATCTGCATCATTGTTTCCCCAGAATACATTAGAATCTATTACTTGTAATTGCACCTATTGCTTTACAAGTTGTAATGCAGTTTCATCAATGTCTGTGGCAACAGAAAAGTCTGTGGTGCGAATGTAATAAATTAGCTATTTATGATTTTTATAAACAAGTATTGAATGTTAGCCAAATATGCATGGCCTGATTGGCCATTCTCACCCCATTCACAAAGGTCTACCCTATCTGAGAACCATATAATCTAAAACATCATCCATTTCTTTGGCAGTTTCAATGATTGATTCAACTTAAAACATTTTCTTCTGTAAACTAATTAATCTCCACATCTAACGATGTTGTGAAAAGTCGGTCATTAAAATAACTTTCCAAAACTTTACAATTTAATCACAGTCGTAGATCAAACATTCTCCTTGTACAAGTCACCTCACGAGAATTACAGCTCCAAATATTATTATAATATTCAGTCAATAAAAGAAAAACTCTAGGAAGGGAGGTATTGTGCATTGTTCAGTTTTATCTCTTGACATCTGTGGGATTCCTTGCTAATGAAAGTAAAAGGAAGGCAGACTACAGTCGATTATTTGGATTTAATAAAATTCATAATCCTTGCATTTGACGTAACGACTTATCACGCCATTACCCCGGAAAGCGAGCTGCCAATTGACTAACAATTGGGTACTTATTTGCTGCTAGGTAAGCATAGACATTTGGAGTAAGGAAACTTGCTTAAGGTTTCCCCCCCGTCCAGGAATCGAACCCTGGTCCACTGCGCAATGGGATTCCTGATTTTCAATCATTCTAATAAAGTGGTATTTGAAGGCTATTTCCATTGTAAACAATAAGCAGCAAAAACGATCCAAAAAAACTCCAACTTGGTGAAGATCTCATAAAACATGTCATTGAACGATACAAATTGATCAGTTCATGNAAAAATCCTGTTTACATAAATAATTCACATACCCGATTGCATACTGATACCAATGCCATTACATGTTAAGTAATATTATTAAGCATGGAAAAAGTTATACAGCATAACAACAACAAAATTACATTTGTATAGCGCTTTTCATGTTGGGAGGACATCCCAAGGCGCTGGACAGTGTACAGCTTTTCAGACCCGAGCTGGGGTCGGGGCGGGAGAAGGGAGGGGAGGGGAAGGGGGTGGTGATGGCATGGTCGAAGAGGAGGGTTTTGAGGCGGGACTTGAAGGAGGCTAAGGAGGGGGCGAGGCGGAGTGATTGGGGGATGGAGTTCCAGAGGTTGGGGGGCAGAGTGGCTGAAGGCTCTTCCTCCAATGGTGGGGCGGATGGGTTGGGGGACGTGGAGCAGACCGGAGCTGGTTGAGCAGAGGAAGTAGGCAGGTTGGTAAAGGTTTAGGAGCTCGCAGAGGTAGGGTGGGGCGAGACCATGGAGGGCTTTGTAGGGGAGAACCAGGATTTTGAACTGGATCCTCTGAAGGATATGGAGCCAATGGAGTCGGGCGAGAGTGGGAGAGTTGGGATCACGGAATTTGGTGTGGGAGAGGACATGGGCGGCAGAGTTCTGGATTATCTGCAGCCTGTGGAGGGAGGAGTTGGGAAGGCTGACAAGCGGGAGTTTGCATAGTCGAGCCTGGAGGTGATGAAGACATGAACAAGAGTTTCAGCGGTCTGAGGGGTGAGAAAGTGGCGGAGTCACTAATGTGAAGGATGATGGGCTTAGCTAATTTAACAAATCGATCAAATTTAGGTAATATGTTCAGGTACAAGCAAAGTGGAAAGATACATTTCGTCTTACTGCGCAGTGAACAAGTCAGCCATACCAGCTATAGCTAATCATTTTGCCACACTTTATTTTATATCAGATCTTAACTACTTAAATTGATTTTTTTGTAAATGCACCAAAATTTATGAATGTTACAAAGTTCCTTTGTCATGAGTGACTATATTCAGTAAAAACAAGATTAGTGGTAGGAAACAGCCTGGTTCTCCTGAGACTTTAATAAATATTAAGACACCCTTCAGTGCTGATAACCTCAAACTTATTTTAAAAAACACATGCAGTAATGTTTTTCTGTTCCCCAATTTTAAATCCGTCAAATCTGTATTTAGCGTGTGGACTTCACAACTTGCACCACTTCTCAATAGCAATACCATCATTAAGATATAATGGAATGAGATTCACAATTGAAGTGAAATACCATAGAAATATGAATCTGCATGTAAAGGTTTGCTTCACAAATATCCAATATCACTATTTTTGTGCAAGAGTATATTTGGTGAATACACTGCCAAAATTAAAATGGTCTACATACAATTAAAAATACCTATTCAGACCAGAAAGTTATGATAATATCATTAACATTTAATGGTCTAGGGATTTTTTTGCTCTATTCAACAAAAGCTACTGTATATCGATTTTAAAACTTACCTATGAAAGGAATAGATGCTAAGGAGTCATCTTGTGGACTTGAAATCGACGTCTTTCTATGTTGGCCTATTCGTTTAAGATTCACCTCTCGAACTCCATCATTAGGCAGCCAACAAGTGGGGTCTGTTACTGTATCTGGTGAAGTTATCGCCAAAATGTATGACTTGTGCCTCAGCGGTTGTGGTGTTAGCCTACCTAGAGATGTTTTTTCCCTCAAGATCACTGTCTCTTTTCTATCTGAAGCCTTCTGATCTTTTTGACCAGAGCCTCGCTGGTTTTGCTCTAGCCAAATCTCTTCATCCAATTTTAGTTGATTCTCTTGTGGCTTATTTTCTGATTTCGCTTTCTCGGAGTCCTTACTCTTTTGTCTAACTGATGCAATACTAGAGGTAGTAGGGCTTATTACAGGCCTTCCTGGTTGTGCTATAGGTTGTCCAGATGATGGCTCAGAACACGAAGCTGATCTTAAACTACTAGCGACTTCAGCTGAATGTTCAGGGACACTTTCTGCTCTTATCCTTGGGCTGGAATGCTGACCACATGATTTGTGATTAACCGTTCTTTGGACCTTTATTGCACCAATACCCATGGTTTGGGTAGGAGGGAGGATTACCGCTGCTCCATTGGAAACAGAGGTGGACAAGGAAGAACTTGGCAATGCAGTTTGAAAGGAAACTGCTAAACAAGATTTTTCTTGAGGAGCTAGAGGTTGCTGACCTGCATAGGCAGACTGGTGATCCCTACAAAACTGAACTGGTGTTGTATCCATGGTAACTTTTCGAACACGGGGGGCAGGGCTGGAATGTGTACTGCTTCGAATGCTTGATCGTGTCTTTATAATGTCAGTGCTATGAACACTCGGTGAAAAAATAATGTTCTGAGGACGTGTTGTGCCACCGATAGATGTGTGACATCCCGGCTGCCCAACTTGTCTAACAGGCTGCCGGAATCCATCATGAACACCAAGTTTATTATCTAGTTCACTGAATCCAGTAGCCCGGTTATATATTCGTTGCAACCTGTCGGCGTCTGGGTCATGTTTACACAAAGTGCCAATATCTGTGGTCAGACCTTGCGGATCTTCTGCTTGTTTTCCAAGGTAATCGCATGACCGTGCTCTATGGTTCTGTGAAGCAATCACTGGCGAGGTTAACGCATCCTGTGAAGCACTCCGTGGCCAATCTTTCATTACAACAGGTTCCCCTAACCTTTCCTGAGACACACTACGGCATCTTATTGGTGTAGTTTGGTAGGCTCGGTCGTGTGAGGTGCTCCGACGTCTCACTTGACTTATGGTGCGGGTTGGCATTGTTTGTTGATATTCTGTTGTGTTTTGAACTGCTGCTCTTAAACTATCTAATCGCTCCTGTATTGTCCTACTACCATACATGTGCAAACGTCTGTTTTCAGTATATTCTTTATACGTTTTATAATTCCTCCAGTCTATATTCTGGTGTGCAGCAAGAGATGTTGGAGATGTGTAGTGGTTTGTGATAACTGGAGAGTCTGTGGTTTGAGAGATCGATCTGCTGGAAGTATCATCTTTGTATGCTCCATAGCTGACAGGTTTATTAGCATTTGCGGTAGAGGTAGTTGTTGTAGTATCTTTTGTTCTACCACTTGTAACCTGTTGAACTATAGTGTTGGTCGGCATAGTTAATGATGAAGTGGTCCTCGGCCTTAGTTTTCCAACGTTGTGGTCGGTCAAGCCATACCGAATTTCTTCTGTTCTGTGAGCTGGACTTGCATGGTTAATTCTGCTAGGTACTAGATCAGCAAACTTCTCTGAAGGCACAACAATAGTCCTTACAGTTTCATTACAAACACACACAGCGGTGTTGGTTTTTGGAATATCAGTTGGTGAAGGTGGAACTTGCAGTTCAGCCCTATACCCTCGGTCAGAGGTGGAAATAGTCCGGACTGGCCTATTCAATTGCTGCTTCCCCCGAGAAAGTTCTGGTGGCGAAACCTCCATCGGCAGAGCCATGGATGAGGAAGTGGCAGTCATTCGTGGGTAACAGACAGGAGGTGGCTCAGGAATGTAATGGGCATTGCCTGTGTATGGATCATTGCCTTTCAAGTAGGCATCTTGGGAGTATGCCTAAAAAGAAGGAAAAGATATTTCATTAAGATGTTTAACATTTCATTAGTGGAAACAGTTGGAAGAAATTAGCACTTTAATGGCGTAACAATTTTGTTAGTTTCAACATATTTGTAAAAATAAATAATCCCTGTATTTGATAAGGCAACTATCACATTGGAAGGCTGTCTCAAAGCACTTTACGAGATTTACAGTAGCGACTGTATTTGCAGGCAAACTCGGCAGCCAATTTGCATACAGCATTACCCCACAGACAGCCGTGAAGTGAATGACAAATTTTATCTGGAGTGTTCTTGGCCAGGATACCAGGAGAAACTCCTCTCTCCTTTTCAATAGGGCCATGTGATTTTAATGTCCACTTGATTGGGCAGATGTGACCTCGGTTTATTAACACCTCACTCCAATATAGCCCCACCCCACCAGCACTGTATTAGTATTAGCTTAGATTATGTGCTCAAGTCCCAACATGAATACCACAACCTTCTGATTCAGAAGCAAGAATGGTACCAACAGACACCCAAGATGCCTTTGGCAGATTCAATCTCCATAAAACAGGAACAATAACATTTTGTATTATATTTTATAGTACATTCTGTGAAGTGCTTTGAGACGACTCAATGACGTGATAAGGCAGTATATGAAATGCATAGCTTATTATCATTTTGTACAATATTTGATCACCCCTGTCTATCATAGAAAACTTAGTAATAAATATTCAGGAATGGAAGGAACACTGTTGTCCACATGTCACAAAAGTAAATTAAAAATGAACACTATCCCTCACATCCCTCAACTGAATTCTTTACCAAATAGCTATATATTTCCCTCTTGAATTTGCTGACACTATCGGTATTCACACTTTCCTAGGTAGTCTATTCCACATATTGACCAAACTCAATGTTAAATAATTAAACGTAACCCTTCTGTTCACCTTCGCTCTCTGAAATTGCATCATGAACCCTTTTCAACATTGTTTGATCATGTTAAAACATTTTTATAGCAGTAGCCAATTTTCACAGAGCAATGTCCCACAAACAGCCATGAAGTGGATGACAAATTGTGTCCAGAGGATTCTTGGTCAGGATACCAGGAGAATAATAATCCTTGCATTTGACATAGCGCTTTATCATGTCTTCAAGACATCTCAAAGCGCTTCACAGAATATATATAGTAAAATGAATACTATATTTTTGTGGGCAAAACATGGCAGCCAATTGCACACAGCAAACAGTTACGGATTGAGCGAACAATTTTTTTGATGGAATTATTACCCCCGAAAAAGCAATCCGCCATTTGACTAACAACCGGGTTCCTACTTACTTCTAGGTAAACGAGGCGAGTGGAGTAAGGAAACTTGCCCAACGTTTTGCCCTGTATGGAATCAAACCCAAGTCCCTCTTGGAGGCTAGTACTCTAACTACTGAGCTACAGGACTCCACAAAAGAGCTCCCTTCTCTTTTCAAACAGTGCTATAGGATGTTGACACTATTTGAAAAGAGAAGGAAATTTCTCCCATCTCTTTACCTTTTGCAATCTTGAATAAGATTTTCCCCTGTGCCCCTAACATTATTGTTAATATTCCCACGGTCATAGTCCCTTTAGCTATCAATTCAATTGCCCTGTGCTATAGCCCCTCCAAAGTCATTACTGTAATATCTTGCCCAAAATTGTACACAATTCTCCAGGTAGAGTCAAATCACTGGCTTGTAAGCTTTGTCCTCTTTATCAGCTTGCATCGTTACACTAATAATCTTTAATATTATTCTTAATCAGGTATAATTTAGTTATTTTTAAAGGACGCCCCTGTCTTCACCCAATGTCCACTTTCCATTCTCTGGATAGCGATAATGAGGTGGATGCCTAGATGATTTTCCCTTCTGAAAACTAGGTACACTGAGGTAAATTGCGGCGTGAAATACTGATCATCTAACTCAGCAATGAACTATACAACTCATTGCTGGTCTGGATGGTGCCTCTACTACGAGCGTAGAGAACGCTAAACAAGTTAATCAGTACCAATTCAAATACTTTTCCTCATACCTTATTCCACACAGCCATTACTCTGTGGGGGGAAAACAATCTTGTGTAATCTGATCTCCTTGGATATTTATTAACATAGTTAATTAAAAACCACCTGTCTGCAAGACTAGGTTACTATCTCTATTTTCTATGAAGGCTTCCCAAACTCATAGCGTCAAGCTTCTGCTTTCAACTCAGAGGGTGGGTCAGTCTAACCACAAATTTCTTCCAGACCTGTGCAATTGGTTGCGAAATAGCACAATCGTTTTTTTATTGCTTCCCTACACTCCTCTCTCTCCCACTCCCATTTATCTCTGAACTGTCATGCAACATTGCCGCAGTAGCTTGAACAGGAATGAAACTCACAGAATGGAGGACAAATTGAACTTGGGACTTCAAAGTAAGAACCAAGAAATGAAGTTCAAGATACTGGGCTGCATGCCAGTTTCTTTGAGATTCTTGATTGGATTTACGATTGAAACAGCTTGCATTTCAGTAAATAAAACTAGAGTGAATTGGCGAGTGAAAGACTGCATTTCGATCATTTAAATGTTATAAATTAATATCAAAGTAGCCTCTGTCACATTAAAAGTGGAACAATAAAAGTATTCAATATTTGTTTAACAACAACATGCATTTATATAGCACCGGTCAAGCGAGTAGTTGACAGTGGCGGAATCTGACGTCGAGCCAGGAGGCAAGGGAGGGGAGAGGTGACAGTAAGCACAATTAAGAAGGAAGGATTTTAGGGATTTGAAAGTGGGGAGGGAGGGAACAAGTCAGAGGGATTGAGGGAAACAGTTCCAGAGTTTTGGGGCGTAATGGCTGAAGGATACGCCGACTGATGGCGGAGTAGAGGAAACGAGGGGCAAACAGGAGGCCGGAACCAGCCGAGTGGAGGTAGCAGGTAGTGGACTGCGGGGGGGGGGGGGGGGGGGGGGGCGGTTGGCAGTAAGCAGATTGAATGGGTAAGGGCATGAAGGGATTTAAAAACGAGTGAGAGGATCTCAAAATTGATCTGTTGTTCTATCTCTCTACCTCCACCCTCAACTCCAGGACTACTGGCGTCCTGACCGACATCAAGTCCTGGACGAGGGACAACTTTCTCCAACTCAATGACAGCAAGACCGAGGCCCTCCTGATTGGCGCGCCCCAGCGCCTCCGCACCTCAGGGACTGGCAGCATCAGCCTCCACAGCTGCACACTCAACCTCACTAAGCCAGTCAGGAACCCGAGTGTCTTGTTTGACCCTGAACTGTCCTTTCTCCCCCACATCCGCGCCATGACCAGCACTGCCTACCACCACCTCCGCAACACTGCCAGACTCCGCCACTGCCTCACCCCTCAGGCTGCCAAAGCCCTTATCCATGCATTCGTCAGATCAAGGCTCGATTACGGAAACTCCCTCTTCATCGGCCTTTCCATTCACAGGCTGCAGATCATCCAAAACTCTGCAGCTCGTGCACTCTCGCGCACCAAGCTCCGTGACCCCATCACTCCCAACCTCGCCCGACTCCACTGGCTTCCCATCCCTCAGAGGATCGGGTTCAAGACCCTCGTCCTCACTTTCAAGGCCTTGCCCCCTCCTACCTCTCTGACCTGCTGACTCCCTGCCATCCTGCCCACTCCCTCCATTCAACAGGCTCCAGCCTGCTCCATGTCTCCCGCCCGACCTGCCAAGCATTGGTGGCCGGGCTTTCAGCCTCTCTGATCCCACACTCTGTAACTCCACCCCACAGTCCCTTCGCCTCGCTTCCTCCTTTGCCTCCTTCAAAGCCGGTTTCGAGACCCTTCTCTTCGATCGTACGTTTGGGCGCCCTCCCACCTCTCTGCCTTCCCTCACCCCTTCACCTCCCCCATGCTCAGGTCACGACACCCGACTGTTCAGCGCTTTGGGACGTCCTCCTGATGTGAAAGGATCTCCATAAATGTAATTTTGTTGTTGTTGGGTAATTGGGAACCAGTGGAGCCTGGCAAGGACTGGTGGAGGTTCGGAGTTTTGTGCGGGTGAGTATCCGGGCGACGGAGTTTTGGATTAATTGAATTTGTGTATGGTGGAGCTGGGGAGACCAGTGAGGAGGGCATTGGAATAGTCCAGCCGGGATGTGAGGAGGATGGCGTGGTCGACTGCGTCGAACGCGGAGGAGAGTTCCAGGAGAACGAGGAGCCAGAGGGAGCCCTGGTCACAGAGAGAGAGGACGTTATTTGTTACTTTGACAAGGGCTGTCTCTGTGCTGTGGGAAGGACAAAAAACAGACTGGAGGGGTTCGAGTTGGAATGGAGGGAGTTACAGGGTAAGCACAGAAAACCAACAAAAACTATAGAAAAGTAAATGCATTCATGACTTACTTTATAAAATTAATTTAAACATACTTCGCTACAAATCAGCCCTGGCACCTCCCTAATCTCTCTGGCCTGCTTTCTCCCCACTTTACTACCCGCTGCCTCAGCTTGGCTGGCTCTCGCCGCCTGCTTGTCCCTCGTCTCCTCCACTCCACCATTGGCGGCCGTGGTTTCAGCCACTACACCCCAAAGCCTTGGAACTGTCTCTCCCAGTCCCTCAGTCTTGCCCTTCCCTTCCCCGATTTTAGATCACAACTGAAGATCTTACTCTCTTACTGTGCTTACGGACACCTCCACCCTACCCCCCAGCTCGGCGTCAGGTTCTGTTAATGTTAAGCGCTCAGAGACGTGGTTCCGGGTGAAGGCCGTTATATAAATGCAAGTTCTTGTTGTTACTATTAAAAATGAAATACCAAGCACTTAATTTTTTATGGATTCCTCAATCACTAACAAGTCGTTTATGACAATTCTCCGAATAACAGCCATCAGCTCACCTACCTGAAGTTTCAAAGTTCGGCTTCTCTGAAAAAGCGTGAAACTCAATTTGGCACGCATGCCAAATCTGCTTTTTGGTGAATATGAAATCTCGGTGATCATTTTTCAACTTACTGCAGTTACAGTAAATAGCTAACAGTCCC